ACTTTATCTATTATTAGCTCCAACTTGCCCTGTCAGTCTACAAAAATATCTAATAATGTAAATCATTCTTGACTCCACTTGAACACACAAAAATTTCATCAAAATCTGTCCAGCCGTTTAGGAGTTTAATTACGAACACATGCACAGAAGATTTATATATACCAGCTGTTTATTTGCTGTATAGAGTTATAACCTAGTTACCGACTACAGCGCTATCTGCCGGGCTGATTTGTTAATCTAAACCATCCAGGGCGCCACAGAAAATTCATTCAAATCGGTCCAGCCGTTTAAGAGGAGTTCAGCGACATACAAACAGTAGAATTATATATATAAAGATATAATTTACTGCAATTAAAATATATTCAATTCAACTCGTGACAAGTATATTTAGGATGTTGTAATTTTTCAACCGAGTTGATAAATTACGCGAAAGACTGGTGCGTGACCAACTTGCATTGTAATGTCGGCAAGGCGTTGACGTAAGTGTCCTGTAATTTGTTTATGTTCTCGGAAATCAAATTGTTACTACTTTATAGCTTTCATGTATGCGTAGATCCGCATGGTTGAACGTTTTCTAAGAAAATGTATGGGATAGTTTTGTATATGGCTTTGTTTTTGAATATAGAATTGAAATGGTATATAATTATTTGACATTCTTTTATATTATTGTTACGTTTGAAGATCCGCATGGTTGAACATTTTCCGGGAATATTATATTGGAAGCGGGTCAGCTTTTTAAATGTAAAGGACATATATTGAATAAAAAATAAATTGTATTTTGTCGTAAACTCTTGTAAACGAAAAATAAACGATTGGTTTTTTGAAATAGTAATTAAGTTTACGTTAATGCGATTTATTATTTCTGTGAATACTTAAATGTCCACAAATATATAATAAATATATAAATATATAATATAGGCACAACCTTAAAAATATATTCCTTTGTTCATTTAAACTAATATTGTCTTTTTTCATCACAGCGTAAATACAATTTGTTACAATGAAACAAAAGAGCACTCTAGTTAAAAGAGTACAATTAAATTTAATTAAATCAAAAAGGGGCTTATTATTTAAATACTTTAGAACACTTAAAAAAATGGTAAGCATACTTCTTTACAAACTTCTTTCTTTCTCAGTGAAATATGTTTGTTTTGCTAAACCAACAAAATAATAATTAGTAGATTTATTAAAAATTTAAACTAAATTTTAAATTCTTCATTTCCGAACAAATATAAAAATTACTAACCTTATAGTCAAATTTGTTTTTTCATCATACCGACGATTATATATGCTTCAGAACCAATTCACTTTTTGTCTATTTCCAAATTACCACTTGTTCGTATGGTGAAGGAAAATATCGAGGAAACTGCCTTAGGCTAAATACACACACCGTACACACTACTGCATATAGACTGTATATATATACCATCATATATCGCCACGGCATGCGTCGCCACGCTAGAAATCGGTTTTACGTGCGGCTATAGATGTTTCACATCAAAAAAACAATTGAACGAAACAGATACATTAATTGAAGGCTCAGACCTAAAACTTTGTAACGCCAACGTTTTTTGGTGGACGATTCTATTTATAATTTAAAAAAGTTCTGTTTAAATTGGTACATGTTCTGCGCATTGGAGTTATTCAACTATCGTATAACTTTATCGCACGTAACGAGATGATTGAAGTACCGTCTTGCAATTGGCGAGTCAACAGTGCACTTCGATGCGAGTATTTACATTCAGTGTCTAACTTGGAATTTGATTTTCGAATTTTCCCACAGATTCGCGATATATTTTGACGTGTGAAATGATTCTTCATTTAAATTATTTGTTTTTTATTAATGGTTATGTAGGATGGGTTACGTATACTTTGTGAAGTTTACTTCTTTGCTTTATGGTAACTAAATTACGTATAAGAATTTCTACATGTACCTACTCAAATAATAAGAGGTAAAGTTAGTAAGTTTGTAGAAACATTGGAACATCCTTGCACACTTTTTATGGAACAGGAGGCGAACGGGCATGTGGCGCACTTAGAATTAGTGCTCACTTGCCGCCAAATGACATTTGCAACACCAGGAGCTAAATTTACAGCTTAGAACTCGCATTGCGCGATGTTACGTCTTCCCTGTGCTGCTCTACGGCATAGAATCTTGGACGCTGACACAGACTATGTCCATAAAACTGGAAGCGTTCGAGATCTGGGTTTATCGACGTATCCTTTAAATATCTTGTACAGATCGCATACGAAATATAACCGTGATGGACAGAATGCAGAAGAACAAAGAAGTTCTTATGATGACTTAAGAAAAGGAAACTTGAGTATTCCGGCCACGTTGTACGTAACTCCAAAAAATACGAGATCCTTCAACTAATCATACAAGGCAAAGTGGCAGGTAGAAGGAGACCTGGCCGCAAACGCACGTCTTGGTTGAAAAACCTTGGACAATGGTTTGGCCAAAGCACTAAGTCGCAAGGAGATGGCACTATAAGAAACACTAGGAGGCTTGCAAGTGCGTTGTCGGCCTTTAAGTCGTAAAAGTTCGGAAATACTTGGCATGGCAGCTGGTCCCATAAAGAGGTGGTGAGCGGTACGAATTGTCCTTAAAAGCGCTCGTACAATCCTAGACGTTGAGATGTAACGAGAATCTCCTGAAAATTTAAAGCTATCTTGAAAGAGACAAACGTATTCTATGTAGTTAATATTTGTGCTTTCCTGTTTCCCAATGAAATTAAACAAATATTGAACAACTAAATTTTACAAGATGTTTTTACAATATACTTTAGACGTCTTTTTTATGATAATTCCGCTACCGTTTAATATTCCTGTATTCAATCTAAATCTGCACTCTGCATTTAAACATTGTAATTGGATTTAGTTAATCCGTGAGGTGAGAATATGTTTCTACATCTCATATTTTATTAAAGAAACTACAAATCAAGCTCGAAGTTAACACTACATTGTTCTACAAACTTGAATTTATAAAAGTTGGATGATTGCCAAGGAAATTTATAATCCTTTCCTTGATGTGATCAAAAACAAATAGCAAGTTTCCAATGAACTTTCTGTGTTACAAAATAACTTATTGAAGCTGTTTACTATTATATAAAGGAGCATTTTTGCTGTCGTTAATTTCATTAAGAATCCCTTTCCCGTATGCGACAAGATATTTACAATTGTTCTATGTGCCTCGTACGATCACGAATTATCTGCGTAATTCGCCAATGTTTTGGGTTTTACCTAACTACAATAAAATTTATGGAGATTTTGACATTTTCCACTTCACCAAAGAGAGCGTGACCAAATATTTTAAGAAAGGGGAAGACTTTTTTCTCTTTAAAATATCAAGTTGTCGTTTGTTTTATGTTTAGTTTCAGTTCTTTTTGTTTATCAATGTTATCTGTTTTGGCCTTGTATATTGTCTAAGCATTTTATAATATGGATATGTGTAGCTGTAAGATTACTTATAAAATATAATTAATAAAGTATGGTTTTCAATGCACGCACCATCCGTCAGTCCGCCATGATCTTGGAGTCGTTCAATCATGAAAATATATAGCTTCATTCGATCGCTATCCCCAAAGCTCCTTAATCGGTTTTCTTCTATGAAAATGGACTTTTAGATTTATTGCATCGTTTTGGTTACGTTTCACAGCGAAAAACGTGATGTACGCGCCCGAAGGTTGTGCAAGCTAAACAAAAATTTCAAGTGCTCTATCACAGCCAAAAAAAATATTGGCTATAACGGAAAATTGTCGAAAAGTTGCCTTGATTTGTTATTTCGTATTCATTGCGCGTTGATAGATCACACGCGCCGAGCCGAGATGTCGGCGTGACATAGAATGAAGGGAATTACTATACGTCTCATGACTTATATATTGCGTCACGATTGCTACTATTCCAACATTTCGGAATTCCGATGTTGTCATGTTTATATAATATTCGAAATGTATTCAAAGTGTATCGTTTTTATTTGTGGTTCTTTATGGCTCACGTCATAGTGGCCCTACAATCCTGGGTCATACAATGGAGATTCACATTTCATCTGTTTCGGTGGTGATTTATTAAGTAAATAGACATACTTTATTAAGAATTTCGTTATTTATTAGGTAGCCAACAGCTTTTATAAAAATTACAAAACCAAGTGTATTAACAAAGAATTACCCTACTAAAATATAATACTTATAAATATTCGTCAGCCTTTGCGTATGTATGTGTTGATGTGTGAGTGCGTGTTTGTGAGAGCTTATATGTGACTATGAACTTCATATATATAATAGTTTTATTAGTAATCATAACAATCAAATAGACAGTATTTACAATTTTCTTAACCTACATAGTAATAGGTACTAAAAATAATTAAGAATTTAATAAAAATAAAATTTAAGCAAATTTAAAAAAGTTTGGTCCCTAAAGCAGTGTACCTTTAACAATGGCAGCTTCGCTGTATTGCGACACTTGTTCGTTGAGCGAGGCAAGCACCAGCTCTGGGCTCACCGGTACTAGCGACCAGGCATTAACTTAAAACTTTAATTAGCGCCTGTGCACTTGAACTCCACGGCCCAAGTTCGCTACTCCAAAGGAAACAAAATCGAAGTTGTATGAAAGACTCTTATATTTGAGCCGTTTTTTTATTTTATTATTTTCATCATAAATTATTTTGTAGTACTCTTACTAACGGCAATATTATATAGATCGATATTTTATAAACGTTTTTGACATTCATAAGCATGCCCTAAGACGCATCTAAACTGAATAAACGTATTTTGATTGATTTATTGATATTACAGAGTAGGTACTCGGATTTTATAATCCATAATAGGTAATTGGTATACATCCAAGCATTAAACGCACATTTAAGGATTCTAAATCACGCCGGGAACATTGCATTAATTAAATTTATAAAACAATATATAACATTCATAAGGAAACATTAAATGCTTTTTCGGTTTGTAACGGAAAACTGCATATTCAATCGTTATTACATCGTTACTAAAATGGCAATGCAACTGCATCCATTATTTGATATTGATGATGTTGTCAACTGTAAGTGGATTACAATGCAGATGATATTCAATGAAGCATACGGTGCATGTCTCAATAGGAATTGGTATAAATCTTGTTGTCGTATGTCTTCATAAGGCGGTTAATTTGGTCATGATATGAACCTCGTGCGTTTTGCGTGTTAAGCTCGCGTTGTAAATCTTTCGCGGAATTTATCGTAAGCTTTAAGCTCTGATTACTGACTACTAACGTCGACTTTGCATTTTTGAAAGCTTTTTAATTCACGTTTATAGTCAGTTATTCTTATTGTTTATAGTATTATTGAGTAATTTAACGCAGGTTTTAAGTTTTTGCCTATTAAAACTACATGCGCGAACTTTCCTCCCACCACGCAAAATGTGCCCTCGTGTCGATATTTTATACATAGACTAGACTTAAGAAGAAGTGAAGAAGAAGAAACAAGTGACTGGGGACCAACCCCGGTTAGTTCAACACCCGGATGAGCATCATTGTTCTGTTCTATTCTGTTTCCCTGCCCATTTAATACTTGCTAGTACGGTAAAAGAAAACATTGTTTAGACCACTGTTTCCCAACCTTTTTGGTGCCATGCCCCCCACCTTAGCCTTTCTAAAACTCTTATGTCATCTCCAAGTAATATACATAATTTTTAATATAAAAATGGGTTGTTCAATTAAGAAACTTACACGGTAGGAGGAAATCGCTGGAAAACTGTTACTGAAATACAGTAAGTAAATTTACAAAACATAATGAAAAACGTCGAGTTTTCGAATTGCCCCCTTAATAATATACCCAACATCGCGTTGATCTGTGTGAGAAAGAGAATTGATCTCGAAACAGATACAAAAATCAGAGGCCCAGAACTGATACGTTGTATAGACATTGGTTTTTTCTATATGAAAGCCCCATAAATAATCTCAAACGTTATTTTAATAGTATATCATATTTTTTATGATTTTTTGTCACCTGGGAAGCGTGATTTAACGGCTATTATTAGCATTAATGCGACATTTTAATATCTTATTTGGCACGGTGAGCGCGGTTGGGTGCATGACGATATCCTCCTACGCATTGCGTGGGTCGAGTTCAAAAATCCTCCGTACATGCACCTTATCTTGAACAAGTCTGAACTTCGAAAATTGTCATGTATAGAAGGAAATTATGAATTCCATCGCGGCTCTTGTACGATGAGAATAAAGTGACTACGGTCTTCCGTGTTATGTGAAGAACGATTTTAATGAAAACTATTTATGTATTTAAACTTCGTTACATTACAAATAACATATATATTAGAGATGAAACGGGCGGCCTTGTCGCTAATAAACGATATCTTCCAGTAGGTAAGGAAAACAAAAAAAGTTAAAGTGCCAAATAAAATAACAAGTAACACTGAAAAAGTATACAATTACGAATCTGAAATAAACTTAAAGCTAATCTTACTGTTCATGAATTGCAAAAAAATAAGAAAATTCATAAATTACAAAAGTCACGTGTTTATGTATAAAATTATTTACATAAATATATGTTTTACGCGAGCCAACACTAATTACTTTGAATGATAAATAAAGAAAGTGTCCAAACATTTACATCACAATCTATGTGTATTAAAAATGCGACGAATAAAAGAAATATACAATTTATTTATTCTAGTATCAAATGAAATTCCGTTACAAATAACAAGATGTATGAGAGGAAATAGCTTAATAGTTCAGTTTCCCCTAGTTGAGTTCCACGCTGAGCCGGATCACCCAGATGTCAGCCCCATATTCCAGTGTCGTAAAGCCGCGACTATTTGCTTTGAAATAAACCAAGCAATATCAGCACTCGTAAATAGCAACACGACTGATTATAAAACGTTGCCGCTGTACGCTTAATTTATTTAGGTTAATTAACGTTATAAAGTCTAGAGTCCGCGCAATATTTTTCCTTTAATTTGAAAATTAACGACGCCATGCGTTCGGTATTTTGACCCGCTTTAACTCTTGGGATCACGTTGGGCTAATATTACGGACCCTTCGCTAAAAAAGGTCCAGCTCGGCAATTAATTTCTACGCTCGGTTAATATATTTTTTTAAATGCCTGGTCGCTGTAAAGCAAATATTAACATGCGCCCCGTTTTTATTTAAGTGTTAGCGTGTTATTTACTTTATCTGGTGGAGTGCTGAGCTCTTTATAATTTCTGTCGGCTCAGTAATTAAAGCCGTCATTGAACACGCGACGCTGCTTTTGTATTGTAATGTGTTCTTTGCTTTTGGCGCGCTTTGACAGACTACAGATACTTAGCAAACCACCGTTTTGGGAAACAATGAGGCTTGCTTTTAGACATTTAATAAATCTCCTTCACTTTCTAAGAAGGTGCCATACGTGGTCATTCCGTGTACTATTTATGTAAATAGCCTGCTGTATAGATAATTTATTGTTTGGGTATACAAGTGAAACTATCTTTCTGTATGGTAGAAACGTGGACTATCTTGCCTCGAGAAAGGCGAAAGATTGATGCCTTTGAGATGTGGTGCTGGTGGTATGCTCAGAACACCGTGGACTGCGAAGCGCACCAATACATCGATCCTGACTCAACTACGCATACGGACTCGCCTGTCTACTATATGCCTACAGCAAATCGTATCTTATTTCGGCCATACAATGTGCAGAGGCGATGAGAACTTGGAGAAACTGATCGTGGACCTCTGTATTAAGAGAGGCGCTTGACAGAAACCGGTGGAAACAGATAATCCAATCTAGATGCTTCGTTGCTGACCACGACACTAAGACATGAGATGCCGAATAAATAGGGAGATGCAAGTGAAATCTCTGAAATCTAAATCTCCATGTTTAAACCAAACTATTTCGGTTTACATAATAGCACCGGCCTTAATTATGAAAAATTAAATTCCTCATTAGCTGTATAAAGTTCGCTGGAGTTGTTAATATAAGATTTACAAGCACATTCGCCTTGCAGAGTTCATAATGTACTTGAAGGCTGACCTAGTTCGTAGTTCGCGTGTCGCCCCGCGTGGGCGGTATTGTAATATTCTAAAGGCATTGTGAATTGTTCCTAAGCGAATCGCTAACGGTGCTAATGGTAACTATGCAATTTGTTAAAGTATTGCCTCGATGGGAACTTGCAAATTGTAGGCACGCTAGCGGAAGTTGTTTCATGGTGTTTATAGGGAGGATATTTTGCATGATTTATGAAGTTATTGACATGATTTAGCTTTGATCGTATCAAGTTGGTTCGGTTATTGCTGTTTAAATCATATGTTGAAATATATTCAAGTCAACAAAAAGTATATGTTAGGTTAAAATTATTTTATATCAAAATGAATACTACGCATTGGGTTGTACATAAAAAGTCAGTAGTATTGTTTATCGCTCGCTTGGCACTAACTTACTGCTTAGCTAAACAAATTTAGAAAAATGATGGTATGAAAGTATTTATTAAAGTACATCACGTCTACAATTTCTACAGTATATGTTACAATCTATCTATTCTAAAATACATGACAATTACGGTGAACACAACATTTACAATTTTTATTATTACCTATTTAAAAATAATATTCGATTTTTGTCATTATTTTTATTAGTTGCAAAGCAACGTTTTTTTTTAATTGATCAACCCACTACCGAATATATCAAACACTGGATAAGTAACATTCATTATGTTGTATTCGCGAAGATTTCGAATGAGAGATGCCGGAACTTTTAGGTTGGGTTTTACAGTCGTAGTTTGGAAGATTCTGATGAATTTAACCTTAATAAATAAGGTACTGTAATGTTATTCTTCTAAAGGAGGTTGCTGTTATGTATTTGACCAGTCTATATAATGTAACGCCGGCTAGAGATATCCGATCTTAACATCATTTTAAACTTCCTAAGTCGGTGATGGCATCTTTAGTGTAAGATGGCATTTAAGGGACGATTGCTTTACATAGTACAGTAGAACCTCGATAACGTAAACCTCGGTAACATAAAAACCTCTGTTACTTCAAAAAATACTATGTTCCCTTCCCATCAGAGCCCAAAACCTCTATAACTTAAAATACGCAACCTCTATAACGTAAAAAATATTAACGTAAAATCTCTGTATAGGCCCTCAGTAACTAAAAGAAATGTTTCCACAACCTCTATAACATAAAATTGTTTGTGAATGAGTCATTTTATAAGAGTGTCAAAACAAATGGTTTCGGTATTTATTGCTTGCACGTGTTTACTAATGTATTGTTAACGTAAACAATACATTACCTATTGTTTGCTTTATCTAAATTCTTCAAAGCTTTGCGGCGGTTAGATTTTGTGACAACGACTTACTTGCATCATAAGTTAATGTGTTAATGTATTCTCCTCTCTATTTGTCATTGAAAATCAAATCGATTATAAACAGTGAATTTTTTAAAACAAAAGAAAATCACAGTTTTTTTTAAGTAGACTAAACCTTTAGTTGTTGTTTTATTTTTATGTAATGTAAGTAATGTGAATAAATATGATTAAATATTTAATTTTCCATCCTTCTGATGCATTCAAGTAAAAATGGGAGGAAGGGTACATAGAAACATGTACATACCTCTATATTAGCCTTTACCTGACATAGAACCTTGATAACTTAAAACCTCGATAACATAAAATATTTTGTGTTTCCCTTGGACTTTATCTTATCGAGGTTCTACTGTATTATTTTATTATATTTAAGTACTAATTGACGGATTTATACAAATAAAATCATTTTAAGTAAACTGGTATAAAGAAAACATAGGGCAGTAACTTATGATACAATATTTATTTCACTAAAGAATTCAGATGTCAGAGCTCTCCTTGCTGACACCTCACTCGTGGCGAATAGGTAAATAATAGCCTTTTATTTCAGATACTTTTATACGAATTTCTATCATATTTTTAAATATCTGTGTGCCTTTTTTGGCAAATAATTTCTCCAAATGTCGCCGGCCTTCCTGTCTGCACTGAGCCACTGTCTGCCATGCCTTCTGTTTCTTTAATCTGGTATATCCACCTTCTAAATTGTCTTGCTCTTTTGTGTTTATACCTTGGGAACAGGCCCTAATAAAGCTGTTCCTTTGTAATTGGACTTTATGTGCATACAATAGGTTCGTGTTTTTAGCGTCCTATAATACACACCTCTCTTAGCAACTCAGGACAGTCTACTTTACTATCCTAATTTTAAAAAACATTGTTCCGAAGGTGTTTTGGACTAAGACCTTTATGAAGTTCACAACTTCTAGCGTCATTAACATACGCAATAGTAATATGCAGATTCGTAAACAATTTGTCAAAGCGCTAACTAGGCAACGAGTCTAATCAACATATCAAGTAATAGGATCGCATGTTCCCCAAGAGATAATCAAAAGTGTAAACGCGATGCCGCGAGCCGTCGACTTATAAATAAATTTCCACTTTAATAGCTCCCTAGTGTTATTAATCATGTATGAATCGGCCAGAGGCGAGCTTTGAGTGTTGACTGTGGGTTAT